CGTACAGCGACCGACACCAGACCCACACCGTACAGCAACCGACACCAGACCCACACCGTACAGCAACCAACACCAGACCCACACCGTACGTATAAGTCCCCTCTCTCTGCCCCCCTTTCCTGTCTGTCTTCAGCTGTCCTATCAAATAAATGCATAAAAAGCCGGAAAAAAAATACAGATTCATATTTTCTGGATTATTTCTCTAGTTTTTAAATATGTTGAAGTTGATTCAAATTGTTACTGAAAACATTATATAATAAAAATTCATTTGAATGTTTTTATGTGTTAACTTTATTAAAAAATTACAATAAAACTAAATAGAAATAAAAAAATCTTGTGAGAAAAACTGCTTTACAGGATTTTCAGGAGCAGAACTGTTGTCAGATTGTAGACCCTCAGACGAGAGCAGAAACTGGTCCTGGTTCAGTAAAATAAACCGTTCTGGATCATTAGCAGTTCACAGCTGATGAAGGCATGAGAACAGATCTTCATCAATAATCAACCATCATCATCATCACCAGCATGACCTTTCACACCAACACAGATCAGATCTAGACCTGAACAAGTACCTGAGAGTCTGGGACAAACTGAAATATTCCCACAGTCAGTCAGTGAACGCAGCACCAAACCACCGGTTCTCATGAGTCAGTGAACGCAGCACCAACAATGTGTTCATGTTCTGCAACTGTCAGATTTATATAAAAACTGCAGATGTTGTCGGACAGTCGGAGTATTGATCATTGATCAGTATCTGATTGATTCAGTTTGTGATGAAGCTAAAACTAATTGTTAAAGTAACAATATCATTACATAACTCGAGCATTAACGCACACTGAATGCTGAACATGTACTTAAAGTAGTTCTGAGGATCGTGAAGCTGCAGCAGCCAACGGAAGTCGTCAACAACAACTGCTTTCCAGCAGCTGTGGCAGACGAGTTCAGTTGTCGTATCAGTTCTCTCATCATGTAACGCTTCAACAAAAGAAATCAGATCTGAGCCGTTATCACAGCAGTTGGAGAGGTGGCTGATGGGAAGCAGAGGAGGGTGACGGTATTTACTCAGCTGCTGCCCTTCGTCCCGTCCCCTCAGTATCATCATCCTCAGTGTGTTTCTGTTGAAGATATCAGCGGCAGCGTTGGTTGACGCAGTCCGACTCTCACCTTTCACCGACTCGTTGTTCGGAGGTTGTCTGATACCTGAGGGACCGGACGCCGCCGTCCTCGCTGCGGGAACACAAACACAAACAGAAACAGGAGCCACTGGAGGTCAGGTCTCAGACCAGGTCCCAGTGGTTTGCTGATGGGAAACAAAGAGGCTGCAGCTGTCAGATGTGACTCATTGTAGTTTCAGATAACACAAAGGAAGCACAATATCCAGTCTGCGGGAACAATAACATCAGACTTTAATATCACACGTCAGATATTCAGGAAACAACATCATAAAAATCATAAATAGATCCATTTTATAAATACTGTTATCTTATTTTTACTGTTACGTCAGATCCACAGACACAACAGTCTAATGACAAAAGAGTTTAATTCAAAGGAATTTACATTGTATTCATCATATTAGATTCTTATTTATATAATGAGTTTAACTTTAATAGTATACGTTTTCTTCTTTATGCTAACGTTAATGTTTTATTATTATTAATCTTTTTTAAGCTAATGTCTCATTACTTTCTGAAATTTTCAATTACAACCATCCAAAAGTTAAAGTAAGGATTTTCTTTGGTGTCGTTCTGATTAGTCAGAATTATATATTAGAAATATTTGATGTCAGCACATTTAAAAACATCTTAACAAAAATGTTTTTGTCAGAATCCTGTTCCAGATATCTGGAGCTAAAGTGTAGATATCTTGACTTTGAGTTGATGGTTTGTAGTAATCAATAACAGTTCCACTGTATTCAGTTGGTTTTTGTGGTTGACCTTCATGTACGTAGCGTCCTGTAACACCGAAGGTTAAAACAGACTCAATAAACCATCAGTGAAAATATCGTCACAGTCGAACAAACTAAAAAAAAACACATTCATGAGATTCTCTGTTCGTTTCTCCATCGATTAAAGGAAACTCTCAGAGGCTTTAAAGTTCCCCCGGAGGCGGATCAAACTTTGACATTGTTGAAATAATGAAGAGAAGTTTGAATAAGTGGTTATGAATTTTTCATGCACATCTGAATATCTGAGCGTGTGTCTGGTTTGAGTGAGTTAAAAGCAAATAACAGTCCAAAATCCTCCCTCCTCATTCTCCGGCCTCTGTAGAAGAAACAAAAGCAGACAGTAGCGTTGTGTTAAAGGCTGCTGGGTTTTATCAACTCGCTGCTGCGACAAAGACATCACAGCTTGCATCCCTCTCTCATCATTAATTGATTGTGTGAGCGACTCGCTGCTCTTCCCCCTGACAAACAATCTGCAAAAACAGACTCCACAACAACCAGCGAGACCACCGAAACAACAACCGTACCACGATGATGAAATGGCGCCCGGGGCTGGAAAATAATGAGTCCACTACAGCACGAGGAGCCACTAACCTGCAACACTTCTCTCAAAACACGTCTTTGTCTCTGGGTGAACGCTGCAGAGCCAGTAGGACCTGCAGACGGGCGGAGGTCAGATCTGTCTCAGTGTCTGGGATCACTCTGGTGTCTCTGAAGAAACCGTGAAACAGTGTTTTTGTTGTTGTCCTCTGATACCACCAACAGGAACAAAACAGACACTTTACAGGCCTGGCACTGGAGCAAACGTCTGTAATGAAAAGAAAGTGTAAAAGAGACCATCCACAGCTTCTAAATCAATAATCTATAATCATGTATCAACCAACAATTAATAGATAATAGATAATAGACAATGGACAATGTCTACCTCCATTTGCACATCCATTTGCACTGTTTATTTCCACTTGCACTCCACTCCATTTACACTGTTTACTGTTTGCAATGTTTACTGTAGCCACTGTTAATTTTATTTTATACTGTT